TCAAAATATCGAAAAATTGATTCTAGTTTTCTGTTTGAATTAGATTTATTCATGAGATTATGTTTTCTTTAAAAATAATACAATGTTTACACAAGTTAAAAAATTAATCGAATAAATGACATGTATTACGATCAATGACAAATCTAGAAAATAAATTTACCTGAGTCAAAAAATTTGTTAGTTATTTTATTATCTTTGAAGCCCATTTAAAAATAGAATAAACTGGAAATAGATGCAAAGGGAAGACTTGAATTGAGTTGGAGAAGTCAAACAACTAGAGTTAAACCATTTAAACTGTTGAAATTAAATTTACAGCCAGTTTATAATTAAATTTACAACCACTTGAACATAATTTCATGAATAAATCTAATCTAGAGTATATCCAAATAAAAAAATATGGAAACGTTTCACGGAGTCGCAACAACTACAAATGTGTGAAAGCCATATGTAAAACCTAGAAGAGAGTTTAGCCTAGCACAAATACGGGTTAAGGTAGATCCATATTCTGATTGTAACACTCTTGAAGTTGGTTGACATGTTCTAATTTATTCTTGTACCAACATCTTTTTACATATATACACATATTCTTATCTTGTTCGTTTTCGGTCTTTGATTGTTATTAATTAACTGTATCAAAGACGTAATGGTGATTTTTAACCCCGACAGTTCATTTATTGGAATGTGAGTTAATTTATCCAGTATTGTTTTGATTTTGATTTTTTGGGATCAAAATATATACTTATAAGACAATTTATTGTCTGTTGTTTGGTAACATGAAAACATACTGATGGATACAATGAGAAAGGCTGATACAATCTTGATTGTAAAGGCTTTGTTGTTACTGATCTAGGATTTGCTATATGTGCAGCCTTTCAAGATATTTCCACTTTGGATGGTCAATAATATTATATTCCCATTAATATACAGAAGGTCTATATGATCCAAACTGTTTCTCATCATACAATTTTAACGAATACTCTTTTATAGTATTTTTTAAAATGAGAACGAATATGTTATCTTATTGTAGGATCCTCCACTCTGAGCATTGGAGGTTAAGATATTTTAACCATCTAGTTGTCGGATATTCGTCTTCCACATTTTTCACTCATCTACAAAATGGTGCAACCGAAATTCAGTTGGGAGGTGAAATAACAAATTATAAAGATGATTCACAACATACGATGATACAATTGGGAAGTGGACACTTTGTGCAAGAAGATTCGCAGAAAGCTAGTTATTTCAAGAATGTTGAGATAGTTGATGAAAATATATTTTTATCAAAGTCCATGCGGAAATTCATACTTATATAACGCAAGAAAGTTGTTACAATATTGGCGGTGGGTTTTGTCATGTTTGGAGTGTTTTCTTTTATTATGATAGTCCTGGTCGAAATCATAATTGTCTGTCATCCCCTATATATTATTTGGAAAATGATTTGTGAAAAAATACTAATATCATATCTACAATCACTCTCACAAAAAAAAAACAAAACCAAAATATGACATGGCAACTTATTAAATATGACACGACAAGTTCTATAAAATTCTAATTTAATGTCATTTATAATTATCCCATTATTAATTATGTTACTCAATTATCTATTTGTTTCAATTAATTATGTTGTCTCAGTTATTCTTTGAGTTTATTATTACAAATAATGTGATTGTGGAACTCATGTGCATTCTTTCACGGTTTATGAAGAACACGAACCGAAGAAAGAAGAAGAGTTGGAGAATATGCGTATAAGGAACAAGATCAATAATTCTGTAATCCAATTTGGGATGAGCCTAAGTGGCGATATGATTGGGTGAGAAAATGAATTGATCAAAATTTGAAACGATATAGAAGCTTATGATTGCTATTCGTGTGAGTTATTATTTCAAGTTTTTTTCATGTAATATTTGATTTTTTCTGTTATACAAAATAGTAGAACAACAAGGTGTTTTTGATTATACATTGGCTTTAATTATAAAAAAATTTACCTAATTATTGAGAGAGGAGAGGAATAATAAATATGAATATTGGCTGCAAGACTATATTTTTGTACGAGTTAATTTCTACCGTGAGATTTGGATTCAACACTTTCAGTCGATGACGTTTAATCAAATGATGACCACACATTTTGTATTTTTTATGGAAATTTGGATAATGTCATCAGTTTTAGATGACATATATGAGGTGGATATACATGTAAAATTAGCACTCTCCCAAACATATATAGTTTGATTTATTTCTACAAGAAAAAATAATCATATATACTAAAATATAGGGATGGTGTTAAAAACTGG